CGGATGGAGCATCACCAAAAGGTTGCGGGTTTGATTCCTGGTTGGGGAGCATATGAGAGGCAACCAATCAATGTTTCTCTCTCACACCGATGTTTCTCTCTCTCCCTTCCTCTCTCTAAAAATCAATGAACATGTCCTCCAGTGAGGATTAAAAGAGTTCCTATCTTATGTAAATTTATCCCTGCTACTGTAAATTATAATAAGATAGGCTAAAAACTGTAAAGTCACAAATCAAGGTTTATAGTAATTTGAGAATAATATTGGAAGATACTTCATCACTTCAGGTGGTTGAAATACTGTGCCTACTACGTGGCTCAAGGTAAGGCAGGCTAGAAGAAAATGCCCAGGACACAGAAAGAAAAGTAAGCAGGTGGACTGACTATATTTATGTGAATCACTATTTTATAACAGGAAAATTGGTTTACAACTAATTGTTACAAAGATCATAGAACCTGCTAATTATCATAAATAATGAGTTCTGTAAGTTTTATAAATAAGTAGTCTACTGCTTTCAAATGAAAAAGTATAACCTTTTGATGAGCTGGCCTTCTAGAACACTTGCCTATGCCCAACTTGTTCTCAATCCTGTTTGCACCACTTTCTAGTCTGTGACACATTCCTACACTGTTAAAAATCTTTCTCTGATCTTTTTGTGTTTCTTACTCTTCCTTTTACTTTCCTTTTTTAAACTTAACTTTCTGGATCCCCTTTTCTATTTTACCATCTGCTTTCCTCACATCCAGATACTCTTGCTCCTGTACTCCAAGACATCCAAATCTGCATGAGTTTGCTTGTTGCTCTCTGTCTGCCCCAAATATCCTATTTTTACTCTAATTTCAGTTCTCCCTTCTCCTGGTTTAGCCAATAATCCACTCCTTTGTGGGTATCTCCCCACAAAGCTACCTTTCTCTCAGATAACCCAGCTAAATGGCAGAACAGTCAACTCTTCAAACTAAATCATACTAATATAAACGGTTGATAATTTTTACTTACCCCTGCTCAAGCCTTGTCCTGTCCTGTGCCCACCATGCTTGTTAAAATAATTTCAGTTGGTAAAACTTCATACCAATTAGGTAGAAAATTGGGATCAGGTATGTTTGTGGTGGGGTTAACTGGAGACTCACCTTTAAACATACAAAATATATTTCCCAATATATTCCAGACTTGAAATAGGCAAGGAATTGGTGAACAAGAAGAAATATTGATCCCTGTTGGGATTTCCTGATCACCTGCTTCCTAAGGCTTGATTCAGTTATGTTCACCTTTGAAACCCAATGATCGGAGGTGTGCCAAAGGTAAGGCCTGGTTTCCAATGTCTGGCTACAGATAATACTATCAATCCAAGGGTCCTAGAACACTGAAGCCCAGGGCCAGAAAAATGAAAGGTCTGACAGTCTCCTGTGTTGTGGATCCAGGGTGTCAGAATGTTCTCAAAGTTTTCTGTCTCTTATCTGTTCATCTCTCTTCTTCCTCTAGCTGATCACAGAAATACTTCTTTTGATTACGTGAAAGTAATACTAATTACCATTTATGGCTAATTACTTGTGGCACAGTAACAAACAGCTAATTGCAGTTAGCGTTGTTCTAAGCTTTACTTTAATACAATACTATATTTTTTCTCAAGTACTTGCTCTTCATAGTTCTGTTCATATGTGAGGTAGGTTTACCTCACTAACTAAAAGAAGCTAGACACAAAAGGTAACATATTACATGACTCTACTTACATGAAAGTGACTAATGAATTAAATGTAATTACAGTAGTTCCCCCCTTATCCACAGGGGATATGTTCTAAGACACGCTCCCCAGTGGATGCCTGAAACTGATAGTACCAAACCCTACATATATTATGTTTTTCCCCTATACATATATACATACCTATGATAAGGTTTAATTTGTAAATTAGGTGCAATTAAGAGATTAAGAACAATAAAAAAAATATACTGTAATAAAAGTTATGTGAATGTGCTCTCTCTCAAAACAGCTCACTGTACTGTACCTTATCCTTCTTGTGATAAGATACAATGCTTATGTGATGAGAGGAAGGGAGGTGAATGATGTAGATATTTTCAGACTGAGGTTGACTGTGGATAACTGAAACCATGGAAAGCTAAACAGTGGAAAAAGGGGCAACACTGTAGTTCAAAAATAGTGTATGTGAATAGTGAAAATGAATTCTGAATTTTTAAATCTGATCAAAAGGTTTAAGTAATATCTCAGTTTTGAACAACACATATAAGTACACACACACACTAAAGAGTATGTATCATATGTGTCTGAATGTAAGGAGAATTATTCTCCAAATATATCCATCATAAATATCATGTTGTATTTGGGTTTCTATCAAGTTGCTGCTCATTTGACAAGGGGCTTTCTTGAGTCATATATTGTGAGAAACAAAGTACTCAATGGAGGAAACACTTAGTGTGAAAAAAACCCTCAATCAATGATGGTTTGGGAAGCTTTAAGGTCACCTGACAAAAGTAAAACAGGAGGCAAATAAATTTAACATTAACTTAGTTTCTGATGCCAAGACTCCAAGCTGTAAGTGAATGTCACTATATACAAAAGCCTTTTAGAGACCACTTTATTTATTTTTAATTTAATTTTATTATATTTATTGGGGTGACATTGGTTAAGAGAGATCACTTTAGAAAGCAATCCAATTAATAGTTATATTGTGCAGATAATAAACATACACCTACACTACAAAAGAAAAAAAAAACTTATGTAAAAGGGTACTTGTAGACTTTCCAATGGTGGCCTAATATAAATTCAAAAAATGTTTCATATCAAACAATTGAGATAATGCAACCTAAAAATCTATGATAGATGGTTCAAAAAGTAGATCTGTTGATTACAAAGACACCTATGTAAAAGATGCTTATAGCCCGGCTAGGCATGGCTCAGCGGTTGAGCATCGACCTGGGATCCAGACGATCAGGGTTCGATTCCCGGTCAGGGCACATACCCGGGTTGTGGGCTCGATCAATGACTCTCTCATCATTGATGTTTCTATCTCTGTCTCTCCCTCTCCTTTCCTCTCTCTGAAATCAATAAAGATATTTTTAAAAAATTAAAAAAAGATACATATAGAGTTTGAATAAAATTGTTTCCTGACATTTGAGATGTAAAAAAAGTAAAATTTCTAAATTAATATTAACTTTATATAACATACAATTTTAAACACAACCCTTTTGAAGTCTTCTTAATCGGAAAATAGAGGATCACTTTATATTCAAGGATTACGAGTATATGCATTAGAAAAAAGATAGAAAACAGCTCCACCATAAAATTCTACAGTGATTCCTTTGAATGTTAAAAAAGTGATACTTTGGAAGTATTTTAATTTTCTCTATATTTTTTTGTATTTTCAATATTTTCTTCAATCTACATGTATTATTCTTGAAAACAAAAGCAATAAGAATTAAAAATAAAATTTATTTTAATAGTTCTAAAACTTGTATGACATGAAATAGAATCTTTGGTCTACAAGAGGCCAAGAAGAGTCTCCCAATCTGACCCTCTACCAAACTGAAGTAGTGTTAGCTACATTATTTGACACTATCCAGGTTTTTCCTGATACAGAGATCAGTATTTTGAAAACAACTTACTCTACTGTTAAACAACTGAAAACGTCATTGATTCTTTAATAGCTTTACTCAGTCTCTATTCATGCCAGGGGCTGAAGTCTTTATAGTAAGCCCAAATGGGTATTGCTCTCTAATTTTCTGCTACTATTTTCAATTTTGCAATCTGGAGAAAAATATATGTCTACTCCTTTCTTTAGAAAACAGTCTTTGAGGTAATTTTAGACAGTTTTTGGAGTCCCTTAAAAGTCTTCACTTTTCCAGGCTCTATATTCAATTCTGCCATTCACTAATATTTTAAAAATGGCATAGCCAGGACCTAAAACAACATTCTAAATGATTTCTAATCAGCCCTAATAGTCAAAATTAATAGTCCCAGAACATCTGAACATTTTTCTTTTATGAATGTAGTTTAAGACTATATCAGCATTGTTAGTAGTTACATAATATTGATGGCTTGAGATTATAGAAAACACAGTCATCCAACTCTATTTTACCAACAACTCAGGTCTTCCAAATCTATAGTTTAAGTGATGCATTTGTCCACAATTTAAATACGGTCTAAAAATCCACCTCAGAATAAAGAAAATATATCTATTTCCTGGTCAATAGAAAGCTCTGTCTCCCTTCTATATTGTTAGCTTGACTAAGCTGACTAATCAATCAAACAACTATTTATTGCTTATTTTATCTATGGGAAACTGTATTCTTTTAATGTTCAGTTTTGAAGAAAATCACATCATTAGAGGCAGTGTGGCTGATTAAACAAACCACTTCAGGTCTTAATCAGGGAGAAGAGTGAACACAGAAGTGGTGAAGAAATATTAACTATCCCTGGATCTTTTAGAAACCAGCAATGCACAAACTCCGTTTTCCTTTAATGTCTTCTCAGCAGCAGCAATGGTGCCAAACTCCAGAGAGGATGGGAATTTATCTATCTATAGCACTTATATAAGTTTTAAGAAAGAGTTATAGCACTCCAGTTCTCCCCGTTTTTAAGACATCTGAATTTATACAAATACAGCCACCAATTTATTTCTAGGTTTAAAAAACTTGATATAAATCCTTGGGAAGCAACAAATGCTACATTCTAAGTTTCAGATACAAACCTGAAGGTTAAATTGTACATTAGTCATATTAGTGAAATCTCTATAACTTCTCACATGCCAAGATTTATTATAATCTGCTGAAAATTAGAGAAGCTACGCCTATTTGAAAAATTTCATCTATCACTATTTTGCTCAAAATCATTCTCAAGTAGTGGCGTAATAAATGGTTAGAAAGGATCTTTCCCACCCGCTTATGTACTTAATATGTTCATTTTTGTCCTACAGATTTTAATCAAGAGTGTCACTTCACACCCATGTGTAGCTTTCTCAGAAATGGTGAAAGAACTAAGTGTTTCAAATTACCTTGAGTGGTAAAGTTGAAGAGTGCAGGTGTGTCTCGCCCATTTGGTAGTTTGACATTTGGGTCCCGTAATTCATCAAAAAATGAATGTGCACAAGCTTCCAGTGGTGTCAATCGGGCAGTTGGTGTATACTCCAGCAGACGGCTACACAGTGCAATTGCCTCTGGTGGAGTTCGGGGTCGAAAGACCTGCAGTACAAAAAAGGGGAAAGAACAATTAATGTTTTTTAAGAATATTAGCAATTTATCCTCCGAATACTGAGTTAATTCCCACCGCGTACAAAAACATGGTTGCATTTGTGAAAGGAACCTTCTAGAATGAAAAGAGTTAACTGCATATGATTCACCACACTGTGGTGAACTGCTAATTAAAGACTATACGAGAAAAGCTCAGAGAAAAAATTGGAGAAGTGGGAAAAAAATCTATATATCCTAGTCATAAAGCAGAACAATCTAACATGCACACAAAATATGACAGGCACAAGAGAAAGGGTGCGTTCTAGAGGCAAAAACAAGAAGAATATAAAAAAATTTACAGTTTTGGCTGCAGTGGCAGTAGATAAAAGTTTGCCTCTTTTGTGTGATTTTTAGTAGAACTGTTGATAATGGATAGCACTGTTCAAATTTGGCAATCAACATCTTTTTAAAAAGGAAAGCTATTTACTCCAAGTCTATAAATGCTAATGATTTTGTATTACCTCTTCAATAAACAGAACTTATCATTACTTGAAGAAATTCTTGAATTCCCATAATTTGACAAAATGTCCAAAATTAAGTTTTCTCAAGTAGCTGTTTATCATGAACATGGCCAGATTACTCTCATTTGAATGAATACTCTAGGGTTTTTTTAATCAGGAAGAGAGAAATGTAGTTTTCATTAAGAGTCATTAATTCAGAAAAAGTCAACTGAAGGCTATATTGAAGCAAAATGCAAATACATTAATTTGCTTAAAGGAATAGAAAACTTTCTACTTATCTATTAAAACTTCTAATTAATACATAAAACTATGAAAATATATTTTGTTTTAAATTGTGGACGGTTAAAGAATATAAGCAGAAGGGGAAAATAAAACTAAACATAAGCAAATGGACAGAAAGACTTTGACCGGGAATTGAATCCATGACCCTTTGGTGTGAGGGCCGACACTCTAACCACTGTGAATCTCTGGCCAGGGCAAAACTTTGAAACACACAAAAAAATGAAACACTGGCCCTGGGCGGGTAGCTCAGTTGGCTAGAGTGTTGTCCCAGTGTGCCAACGTTGCGGGTTCAATTCCCTACTCAGGGAAAATACAAGAAACAACCAATGAATGCATCAATAAGTGGAACATCAGATTGATGTTTCTCTCTAGATCAATCGGTAACAAAAAGTGTGCTTAAAAAAATGAAACATATATCTCTTGATACGAAGAACACAGAATCAAATAGAAGGTGTGGTAGTGGTAGTGGTGGAGGTAAACAGACATATAAAAAGAAGCAGAAGTGTATAAATGGAGGGAATAGACCTATAAGTGAGGAAAGGGCATACAGACTGTGAGACAAGGCATGGAGGAGCCTGGGAAGCTAAGGTTTCCTAATGAGAATGGTTCATGTAAATCTGGGTATTCACTTAGACTAAAGGCAGGAGGACTAGTTACTACTACCGGGCTCATTAGACTTCAAAAGACTATTTATAAGAATACTTTGTGCAGAGAAAACCTTTTTTATCTTTTGTTTTTATACAAAGTTTGTTATTATTAAAGATATTTTCCGTGGAAAATGAGAAACTGATTTAAGCAGGATCTCATGAATTTATTTTAGAATACTGAAGGCCTTGTGAATTTATTTAGCTATGTTAGAACACCCTCTGTAAGGTCAAAACTGCTTTATCTTTTATTCTTTTGAGTGACCTGACTTGTCTCAGTCAAGAAAATCTAACGTTACTGTATTATTTGAAATGCTGAGATCTTCTACTGTTCTTGGTCATTTTTTCCCCACATGCTCCCTAGCCAGGTCCATAATCAAACTCACATGTAAAAGAAAAAAGTCAGTAGGAAAACTCAGAAAAGGTTTTATAAAAATATTAAGCACTACTGACATATTTTAGCCTGAGTACAGTTTGTACTTATTTGACAACAAATGGATTTATTTTTTAGTATAATAAAAAATGCTTCTGCATCAATACAGAAGGCATAAGTAGAATTTAAAGCAGAAATAAATATCTCCCACTAACATTCAAATGTAGGGTAGCTGGATAGTGAGTTTATTTTAAATTTAAAAATTTCATGTTTTATTAATGAAGATTTTGTAAAGCTATTAATAAACCAGTATTGTAAGCTTATCTCTGATTATTAAAAAAGAACATCCATACCTTTTTGGTATCTTACAGGCTGTAAGTGAACATCCATGCTAATACTAAAACACATATTAGCCTATTTTGCCAGGGAATCCCAACTCATGGAATCAGATTTAAAACAGTAAAAAAAAAAATAAAAAAAATTCTACGTTAAATTCAAGACTTAACCTGCCTTTTAAAAAAGTATCTATTATTACTTTAAGCCCTCTGAACGATTCCTGATGAGAAAAGCTCTGGTTTAGTACTTTATAGATAAAGATTAAGTGAACACTATGTGAGGTCAAAAACCAGTGTCTCCTAAAGTCCAGATGTCTGACCATAATACAGGGTGTGGTAGTATGCAACTTCCAAAAATTACAGGCCAAACTAGAAAACAGCTCTTCTGAATTATCTTTGTGTCTAAAGAAAAGGAAACCAATGACTACTGAAATTTGACTTTTAATAAAGAAGTTCCTGCTGCCGTTTCATTCTGTACTTATTTTAATAGCCTAGAATTCAGAACCTTTGGTTTCATGGACCTTCGTCAATATTCATTCTTGTAAAAACAATTTTCAAACCCCACAATTCCTAAACTTCAGTCTAAATGTCAATAAATCACTCAGAAGACTGATATCTAGTCCATAAGCAAAACCTGTATCATACAGTGAATGAAAACAGAAATCAGAGCTACCTACATTGTTTTTACTGTAACATTTCAAGAATGAGTAACTGTTTAGCCTTTCAGAAAGTTTTCCCCCTAGTTTTATAGACCTGCCCTGAAATTTTGGGGAAAAAAAAAATTAAGTACATACCCGCACTCCTGAGTTGAAATGTCCTGTTCCTGACGAATCCTAAAGATGATAATGCAGTGAAATAATCCAAACAGGGAAGTCAATCCAAAAGAGAATAGTCCAGCAAGGAAAAATATATCCAATGTTATAAGAAATCCATGGTGTGGGAGGGACATAGAAAATGTTTATACAGTTATAAACTTTAAACATCAGTCTCCACAGTAGCAAGTCCAAGTTTTAAAAATTATTTCACCACAGTGTATGCAAAAAAATTTTTTGATTGTGCAATGGTGAGGCATAGTAAAGAAACATTTTAATTTTAGTTTATTATGTTCCAATGCCAGTGCATTTATTAAAAAAATACAAAACCAAAAAAAGTTAAAATCAAAATGAAATCTAGAAGTAAAGTTCCCAAAGTAAAGTGTTTGGTCTTCTATGACCTGGATTCATCGTCCATTGACATGGCTGGGATGGGGCATTTAAGACTGCTTTTAAAGGTAAGTTCCCAATATGCTAATTTTCCTCTATTAACATATTCCAGTGACACAGTATAAACATTTTTTTTTGCTAAATTAGTAGTGATGAGAGGAAAGTAATTAATATATTTAATTTATATTACTACAGATTTCAAGCCAAATATTTTCAATTTGTGTGAGCTAAGAAGAATCAGGCCACCGCGGATTATTCTCCATTTTGGATTGACTTCCCTGCTAAAAGATATTTGCTGACATTCTCATTATCTTAGGAGTCTTCAGGAAATAGACATATCACCTCAGGAGTGCGGGTATAAACTTACATTTTCTATTGTGGGCTTTGCCCCCTCATACCCTTGCACCCACTACTTAGGAAAAATAAATATAGAACATTCTTTCCTTTTTTGGAAAAACTCACTTTAAAAAAAGCCTACATCTTTGAGCACTACAAATTCAACACAGTTCCATCTGCAAATATGCCCAATTCACCCACCAAAAGCTAAACAATAATAGATACAATAAACAATACAACTAAGGGATAGTCACAGTTATAGGTGACATGCATAGTAATGTACACCAACACCTAGGCACAAAGGAGCCAAATGTGCAAGGGAGGTGGTAGGGTCTATTATGTCTAGGTATTGAGAACAAACAATGGCAGAACTCACCAGTAGCTGTGAATTCCCTTGGCTATTCTAAGAGAATTTAACATTCTTTTAGGATAGTTTCCAGTGGGGGAATTTAAATATTTTGCAAAAATAAATAATCCGCGGATTACTTTTAGTCTGCAGACTAAAATTTAGTACACAGATTAAAATCCGGCCCATCAGAATAGAAATCTCTCATGAACTAAAACACAGCCAGGTGGACAAGAGTAGAAAACCAGACTAAAAAAACTGAGAGCACAAAGTAAGACTCAACTGGGCCAACTAACAATTAGTGCGCAGACTAAATATGGCCAGCCAAGTACGTTAGCAAGGCCACAAAGAGCCCAAAACACCCCTGTAATAACTAAAAACAGAAGTAAATAAATAAAACAAAACAGAAAGCAAATAGATAAATAATTGAAAGAAAGAAAAGAAAAAGAAAAAATTGAAAACAATCAAAACACTGACATGAACTTTCAAGTGATTCAAATACTACCTCACCTGTGCAGCAACAAATTTTCTTAAATTGAAACAAACTCTCATCACAAATACTAGTCCATAGAAGAAAGTAACAGAAAAAATTAAGTTTTTCAAAAAGAAAGTCTCTGTGATATTGAACAAATGCAAATGAGTCCTTAAATAAAGAACTACTCAAAATAAATTTGCATTTGGATAACTCAAAAAATGATAGAGGCAATTTTCCCTTACATGCCCTAGAATAGACTTTTGCCATCAAATATCAAATTTCAACCTGGAGCTAACTGTTATGACTGAATCTTGAGCCCTTTAAAATGACCACTTATAAGCAGTAATATATACCATACCAAAGCCGATGGTTGACTCTCAGAGCATAGCTCTCAATAATTCTACTGCATTAAACTGCCAACCGGAGCAATGTAAAAATGCCTATGGGCAATGATAATTAATCTAAGCAGAACAAAGGACAAGAGCCATGCCTATTCCG